AAAAATTAGCCAGGCATGGTGGTGGGCACCTGTAGTCCCAGCTACTGGGGAGGCAGAGGTGGGAGGATCACTTGAACCCAGGAGGTGGAGGTTGCAGTGAGCCAAGATCGTGCCACTGCACTCTAGCCTGGGCGACAAAGTGAGACTCAGAAAGAAGGAAGGATGGAAGGAGGGAGGGAGGGAAGGAAGGAAGGAAGACAATGCACCCAGAATTTGGATGGATAGAAGGATAGAGGAACGGATATGTGATCACTCAAATTTAGTAAAATGTTAATGAGTTGATGTTGCTGTTTCAAAAGTTTCATAATAAAATGTTGGGGGAAAGTAACAAAATCAAGAAGAGGTAGAAACAAATTCTTTAACGACTCTCTTTTCCTACAGAACAGTGTCCAGGTGCTTAGCTGGGCAGCCACCCCACGAATCCTTGCCTCATGCCCCAAACTCACTCTAAGTGTGTAGCCCTGGGCGCACCCTCAAACCTCTCTGAGGCTGCAGTCCTGGCCTCGTAGGAAGTGAGACGTCCTCATCCGGGAGATGCGAGGCTGAGATGTACAGAGGAGCCGCTCAGGAAATGCTACCTGTTGTTTTCAGAGCAGCAAGGCCACTTCAGCAACACCCAGAGCTTAGGGAGGACCTGGTTAACCAGCCTTTACTGGCGCCTGGGAGATCCCCCACTGACACAAACTCCCTTCTTGTTTGCAGTGGGGACGTTCAGTCCCTTGGCCCATTCCCATTCACTGGCCCAATAGATATTTTCTGTGTGCCAGGCCCTGCACGGGGCACTGCAGTGTGAAGTCTGTCAGGTTTTTCCCTTTAAAGAATACCCCAAGTCACAGACAGATCCAACCCAGTGAGACACACTCCGAGGGAGCCAAGCCCAGCACTCACAGCACAAATCCTGCAAACTTCAGCCCGGATAGAAGCCACGCCCCACAGCCAGGCCTCAGACTGACTCCCGCCTTGGAGTCCAGAACCCCAGCACAGGAAGGACCCTTGTGTCGGGATGTCCAGACCCTGCCACAGCCCAGTGGCCCCTGCCCCTCCTCAATGAATTAACTCGATCACCTGGCCCTATGGGGACAGAAGCCCCCAGTGAGTCTGCTGCTGTCACAACAAAAGGTAATGGGGGCCAGGCGTGGTGGTTCACACCTGTAATCTGAGCACTTTGAGGTTGAGGCGGGCAGATCACTTCAGGTCAGGAGTTAGAGACCAGCCTGGCCAACATCGCGAAACCCCATCTCTACTAAAAATACAAAAATTAGCCGGTAGTGGTGGCACCTGTAATCCCAGCAACTCAGAGGCAGGAGAATCGCTTGAACCCAGGAGGCGGAGGTTGCAGTGAGCCGAGATCACACCATTGCACTCCAGCCTGGGTGAGAGAGGGAGACTCCATCTCTTAAAAAAAAAGCAATGGGGTTGTGGTGTCCACTTGGAAAGAGCTGGGGAGGCAAAGGGAATAGGAAGGATCTACTCCCCTGACAGCCAGGCTGAGGCTGTAGGATACCTGAGCCTCAGGACCCGAGTCAGGACAGCTTAGAGGAGCCCACCCAGTTTAGAGATCATATTCTCCAATTTGGCCAGAATTACACCTGCATCCTCCTCAAGCGGGGCATGAGCCCAGAAATTATGCTTAGGGTCTCTCCTTCCAGCTTCATGACAGCCTGAGGAGGTAGGTGCTGTCATGACCCCCACTTTGTAGGTGGAGAAACTCAAGTTCAGAGAAGTCACATAACTTGCCCAAGGTCACACAGAGCCAGTCGTGGCCACTGCCTTTACTTAAACAAGAGCAGCAACAATCATGACAGCTGGAGTCACTTTACGTGCATTATCTCATTTAAGCTTCTCGATAACCCAAAGTAGGAAAACTTCTTGTCTCCATTGAGAGCAGGAAACTCAAGTTCAGAGAGACTCAATAACTTGCCTGAAACAACGGAATAGGAAAATGGCAGAGCCAGCCTGCAACAAACATAACAATGAGAATGGCAGATGTATTCATTCTGTATTGCTGCTCCAACGAGCTTCCAAGCTTCCGCGAACTTACTAACGTAAAATAAGATACATTTATTCTCTTACCGTTCTGTTGGTGGGATGTCTAACATCAAGGTGTCGGTAGAGCTTGGTTCCTCCGAGGGGTTCTAAGGGGGAATCCGAGTCCTTGTCTTTTCCAGATTCTACAGGCCCCCTGCAAAGCAGGTGACTCCACCTTCAAGGCATGTATTCCACCCTCTGCTTCCTGCCTCATAGCTCACGTTTCTTCTTGCCCCGCCCACCGCCTCTTATAAGGACCCTTGTGGGCCAGGTGTGGTGACTCATGCCTATAATCCCAGCACTTTGAGAGGACGAGGCCACCTGAGGTCAGGAGTTCGAGACCAGCCTGGGCAACATGGTGAAACCCCATCTCTACTAAAAATACAAAAATTAGCTGGGCATGGTGGCACACGCCTGTAATTTCAGCTACTCGGGAGGCAGAGGCAGGAGAATCACTTGAACCCAGGAGGCAGAGGTTGCAGTGAGCCGAGATCGAGCTTGCATTCCAGCCCGGGCAACAGAGACTCTACAAAAAAAAAAAAAAAAAAAAAAAGACCCTTGTGAGTACATCATTGGACCCCTCGGGGATAATCCAGGTGAATTCCTTCATCTCAGGAGCCTTAATTCAATCACACCTGCAAAGCCCCTTTCACCATGTAAATTAGCACTTTCACAGGTTCTGGGGATTAGGATGTGGACCTCTTTGCGAGACCATGAGTCCATCCACCACATTAGCTAATATTCATGGAGCTCTTGCTGAGTGTCATGCCCTGTGCTGAGCATTCTGCATCATTTTAGACCTGCATATCTCACACTTTAAAATTTTTTTTATTTACATAAATGTATGGGATGCAAATACAATTTCTTTACATGCAAAGATTGTGTAATAGTCAGGTCAGGGCTTTTACGATCTGTCATCCCAATAACATACATTGTACCTATTAAGGGATTTCTTTTTGTTGTTGTTGTTGTTGTTGCTGTGTTTTTTTGAGACAGAGACTTGCTCTGTCACCCAGGCTGGAGTGCAGGCTCAATCTAGCTGACTGCAACCTCCACCTCCCGGGTTCAAGCTATTCTCCTGCCTCAGCCTCCTGTGTAGCTGGGATTACAGGCACCGACCACCATGCCCAGCTAATTTTTGTACTTTTAGTAGAGACAGGGTATCGCCATGTTGGCCAGGCTGGTCTCGAACACCTGACCTAAGGTGATCCGCCTGCCTCAGCCTCCCGAAGTGCTGGGATTACAGGCGTAGGCCACCACCGCGCCCAGCCTGTTTTTGTTTTTTAAACAGGTTCTTACTTTGTCACCTAGGATGAAGTACAGTGGTGCAATCATGGCTCACTGCAGCCTGTATCTCCCAGGCTCAAACGATCCTCCCATCTCAGCTTCCTGAGTAGCTGGGACTACAGGTGCATGACACCATGCCTCGTTAATATTTTGCATTTTTTGTAGAGATGGGGTCTTGCCATGTTGCCCAGGCTGGTCTTGAACTCCTGGGCTCAGGTGATCCTCCTGCTTCGGCCTCCCAAAGTGCTAAGATTACAGGTGCGAGCCACCTCACCTGGCAGCCATTAACTTATTTATCATGATTCACAGCGGTGGATGAACCGTCAGAATTCACATTCACCCTTCTGAACCTCCACTGCTCATTATTCCACTCTTTGTGGAGCCATGTGTATGCATTTTTTAGCACCCACTTGGGAGTGAGAACATGCAATATTTGTCTTTCTGTATCTGGCTTATTTCACTTAAGATAATAACCTTCAGTTCCATCAGTGTTGCTACAAAAACATCTCACATTTTAATGTACACACAGATTACCTGGGGGTCTTGCTAAAATACGGATTCTGGTTCAGTAGGTCTGGATTTCTAACAAATGTCCAGGTGATACTGAGCTATTGTTCCAGAGACCACTATTTTATTTTATTTTATTTTTTATTTTTATTGTGTTTGAGACAGAGTTTCACTCTTGTTGCCCAGGCTGGAGTGCAGTGGTACGATCTCGGCTCACTGCAACCTCCGCCTCCCGGGTTCAAGCGATTCTCCTGCCTCAGCCTCCTGAGTAGCTGGGATTACAGGTGCCCACAACCATGACGGCTAATTTTTGTATTTTTAGTAGAGACAGGGTTTCCGCATGTTGACCAGGGAGGTCTTGAACTCCTGACCTCAGGTGATCCACCCACCTTGGCCTCCCAAAGTGCTGGGATTACAGGCATGAGTCACCACGCCCAGCCAAAATTTTTTTTTCATAAAATAAAAAAATGCAAAAAATCAGTCTTAGTTTACCGTCCATGCAAAAACAGACGGTCAGCCGGATCTGGCCTGTGGGCCACAGGATGCGGAGCCTTGTTCTACAATGTCAGTTGCAGGAGGGCATGTCTGTCTGTCTGATTATGTTTCCTGAAGTATCACTGTCTAAAACAGTGCCTGGCATCTAGTAGCTGCTCAAAAAATATTTGCTGAAAGAAAGAGCAATTCCTCTTGTTTAATGCTTACAACTGCTTTACCAAGGGGTCACAGATATGAATATTGTGTTACAGAGGAAGAAATGATGAGAGTAATGTCTCTGGATTTATCAACGGAACAGAGGCATAGAGATGGCATGTTCCAGCATGTGCAGCTGGCCTCCTAGAGGAAGCAAAAGCACTGTGGTCCTCCTCAGCAGTTCGAGAACCTCCTCCCCAACAGATTGCCCCGTCCCCAGGCGGCACGAGGCCCCGACCCTGAAGCTTGAGACCCCAGCCCCAGGCAGCTCGAGGCCCAGACCCTGAAGCTTGAGACCCCAGCCCCAGGCAGCTCGAGGCCCCGCCCCTGAAGCATGAGGCCCCGTCCCCAGACAGCTTGAGGCCCCGCCCCCAAACAGCCTGAGGCCCTACCCCCAGGCGGCTCGGGGCCCAGCGACTGCAGCCCGAGGCCCCGTCCCCAAGGGGCTGGAGTCCTCGCTGGACCAAGCACCACAGAACTGGGTGAGTCCACAGCACAGCACGTCCGGGACCCCTTAGGCCAGCCACATCTCGGGCCAGGCCTCGTGGAGCTCTCACTGGCAATAAAAAGCAGCAATACATTCTCTCCTTTGTTGGAAGCAGCAAACAGCCCGGCCTAGCCAGCTTGGGCAACCAGGCCTCACTCCACAAGGCGGGGCACAGGTCGGGGGACACTGGCGAGGATGTTTCCAAAGCCCGGCAGGTCAGGGCCTGGCACGCAGATCCCCTTCAGGGGCCAGTCTGCTAACATAGACATGTGAAACGGGTGGAGTTGAAACCACAGGCGCCAAATGGCCGCTACTGCCACAGGCAGTGACACCTGTCCAGTTTCGGGGCTTTTTAAAGCCCTCTGTGTTGGAGACAACGCATCACAGAGACCCACGTGGCTGAAAGCCTGTTAGTTTCACAGAGGGCACCTCCCACTTCATGGCCTTTGCCCGTGCTGTCCCCTCGGCCTGGGATGTTCTGGCAAAACCATTGTTAGTTCCTAATCCTTGCAAAAACACTGGGCCAACGAGATCTGGGCCGTGAGCTGCGTGTGTAGACCCCTGTCGGCCCCATTAGCTAACTCCTCTGACTTCAAGTCTCAGAGAATTCTTCCCCAACACAGGCACCCTGCACCTCCCTTGTCACAGGGCAATTTCACATTTGTTTGATTACTTGATCAGTGTCTGTCTACCCTTGTATTCCTTTCCCAGGGCTACAGTAACTAATTATCATAAAGCTTAAACCCACAGATTGTATTGTCTCACAGTTGTGGGGAACAGAAGTCCAAACCAAAACCAAGGTGTTGGCATGGTTGGCTCCTTCTGGAGGTTCACAGGGAGAATCGGATCCATGCCCCGTCTCCTGGTTGATGGTGGCTCCTTGGCTGGTGGCAGCATGGCTGCAATCTCTGCCTTCCTCATCACACAGCGCTCTCCCTGTATGCCTCTGTGTGCCAGGGTCCTGCTTCGTATAAGAACCCCAGTTGTACCATATATGGGGCCCATCCTAACACAGTATGACTTCATCTTATCTTGACAACATCTGCAAAGACTCCATTTCCAAATAAGGTCATATTTGCAGGTTCCAGGTGGATGTGAATTTTGGGAAGACACTGTGCAACCCAGGAGAGCCCCCAAGTGTGGGGGGTCCACTTGCATTGTGCCTGGAAGGTAGGGGCCCCCATTGCTGAAGCCCTTCACTCACTTGCCACCAGTCCCCTGGCCTGATCTCTGCTGGGATGAGAGGGTGAATGTGAACAAGATGGAGAGGAGTGATGGTCCAGGAGTGCACTGGCCAGGGCAGGAGCTGGCGGTGAGGGCTCAGTGGGTACTTGGTGCCTCAGTCTCTGTGGCCTCCTTTCCTCCTCTGCTTGATGACAGGGCCTGGAGTTTCCTCTGAAGCTTTGCTCCTCCCCAACTCCTGGTTCACGGACTTTGGGTTGAGATGATGCCATTCCTAGGTCTGGAGATGGTCGTGTGTCCCACACCTGGTCAATCCAACAATGTTTCTACCTGATACAGTGACTGGTTCAGGACTGGACAGATGATCTAGTCACTGCCAACAGAGTCTCGTTCTGTTGCCCAGGCTGGAGTGCAATGGCGTGATCTCGGCTCACTGCAACTTCCGCCTGCCAGGTTCAAGTGATTCTCCCACCTCAGCCTTGCAAGTAGCTGGGATTACAGGCACGTGCCACCACACCCAGCTAATTTTCGTGGGTTTTTTTTAGTATAGACAAGGTTTCACTGTGTTGGCCAGGTTGGTCTCGAACTCCTGACCTCAAGTGATCCACTCACCTTGGCCACCCAAAGTGCTAGGATTACAGTTGTGAGCCACCAAGCCCAGCCTCAACTTGGACTTCTGATGGAACTTATCCTTAAATAGCTGAGCTCTTGGAATATAAGCCTCTTGTCCTGGGCAGCCACCTTGCCACTATGAGGAGAGAACCAGTGCCTTAATGAAACCCCTGCAGAGAAAACTGAAACCAACAGTCAGGAGAGGGACTCCTGATGCCACATGTGAGTGCCTGGATCCAGCCATTCCTGAAACCGCACCTATACCTACACTTTTTGGTTACATGGTACAGTCAGTACCCTTTTTGCTTAAGCCAGTTTGAGTTCTCTGTCAGAGATAACAGAGTGAAGTGATGTATAGTGTGAAAGCCACATTGGATTCCAGTACTGTTATGGAAACTGAGGTTTGGTATGACTGGGCCACTTTCGTTGAGGTCACAGCTCTGACTTGGCAGAAGGCACTGAACTACACAAAGCAGGGTTCCTGTTTAATAGGAGATAAGGGACAATTACAGTGTCAAGAGGTGAGGCCAGTTTGAGCATTTCAGTCCCTAAGCATACCCAGAAGGGCTAAAACTTCAGGATGTCTCTAGATGCTGGAAGGAAGTGTTTGAGGTGAGGTGGGGAGATGGAAGTGGATGTGCTCATTTGGGAACCGCCCCCAAGGCTGAGAAAGAGCCTGGGACTTGGCAGAGTCCCGAGAAGAGACAGGGGACGTGAGGGCCCTTGGTACTAACAGCAGAGCCAGGCATAGTGGCTCATGCCTGTAATCCCAGCACTTTGGGAGGCCGAGGCAGAAGAATCGCTTGAGGCCAGGAGTTTGAGACCAGCCTGGGCAACATAGCAAGACCCTGTCTCTACAGAAAATTAAAAATTTTAAAATTTAAAAATTAGCTAGGTATGGTGGTACACACTTGTAAGTCCCAGCTACTCAGGAGGCTGAGGTGGGAGGATTGTTTGTGCCCAGGAGGCAGAGGTTGCATGAGCTATGATCGCACCACTGCACTCTGGCCTGAGCAACAGAGCCAGACTCTGTCTCTACCAAAAAAAAAAAGCTAAGAATAAGGATCCTTCTGGCTGCTAGGAAGAGCCCCAGTCCCCAAGCTTGGCTCATGAGCAGTGCAGCTGCCTCCTTTGAGGACTCCTGGAGGTTGGAGTCAGGGCACAGAGCAGGCCCAGTGTGGATTGGAGCCTGGAGGGCCTTTCCACACATACCTGACCCAATATGTTCCTGAGACCTTCTCCTAGCTCTGGGGAGTGATGGTAGGGAGCCCTGGTATTAGATAATTGTGGCTAGGTTCAAGCACGGTGGCTCATACCTGTAATCCTAGCACTTTGGGAGGCCGAGTCAGGTGGATCGCTTGAGGCCAGGAGCTCGAGACCAGCCTGGCCAACATGATGAAACTCCATCTCTACTAAAAATACAAAAATTAGGTGGGGTGGTGCGCATCTGTAATCCCAGCTACTCCGGAGGCTGAGGCAGGAGAATTGCTTGAACCCAGGAGGCAGAGGTTGCAGGGAGCCGAGATCGTGCCACTGCACTCCAGCCTGGGCTACAGAGCAAGACTCTGTCTCAAAAATAAATAAATGAATACATAAATAAATAAAATGATTATGGTTCACAACACATTCCATTTAATTTAGAAAAGAAATAATGGATTATGGCTTTAAAAAAGAGTCTTGTTCTGTTGCTCAGGCTGGAGTACAGTAGTGGAATCGTAGCTCACCACAGGCTTGAACTCCTGAGCTCAAGCAATCTCCCTGCCTCAGCCTCCCAAGCAGCTGGGACTATAGGTGCACACCAACATATCCTGCCATTTTTTTTTTTTTGGTAGAGATGGGGTCTTGCTATGTTGCCCAGGCTGGTCGGGAACTCCTCAAGCAATCCTCCTGCCTCGGCCTTCCAAAGTGCTGGTATTATAGGCATGAGCCACTGCGCCTGGCCAGATTGTAATGTTTTTACAACCCATGTTTGTGGAGTGAAACTTATGTGTGTGATTATTGCTCAGGGATTCCACCAGGAAGGCTGGGGGCCACTCGCCTGACAGGCTCTGGAAACCCCACCTCTGGACTGTCCTCAGCTAGTCAAGTGCATCTCTTAACTCCTGCAAAGCGCTTAGAGCAATACCTGGTGTGTAGCAAAGTTGCATAAGAGCCTGCTCTTACCGTTGCCGTTTTCATTCCATCTAGCACTTTACAAGCTTCAGGCAAGAAGCCCTAGATTCATAAAACACCAGCATGTCCTCCTGGGAAGAAAAGGCTCTTGGAGAGCCAAGCTTAAGACAGAAAAGGACATCAACAAATTCTCCTCCTAATATTTGTTGATTGATTGATTGAGACAGGGTCTCACTCTGTTGCCCAGGCTGGAGTGCAGTGGTGAGCTCACAGCTCCCTGTAGCCTCAACTTCTTAGGCTCAAGCAATCCTACGGCCTCAGCCTCCTGAGTACCTGGAACCACAGACACCTACCACCATGCCCGGCTAATTTTTAAATTTCTTGTAGAGACGGGGTCTCGACATGTTGCCCGGGCTTGTCTCAAACTCCTGAGCTCAAGCAGTCTGCCCATCTTAGCCTCCCAAAGTGCTGGGACTACAAGTGTGAGCCATAGCACCCAGCCTCCTCCTAATGTTTAAAGAGAAAAATATAAAGATGAATCGGTGAGTCCCAGGACACTGCCCATCACTAACCTCTCTCTCCTTGGGCCACTGACTTGCTGTCCAAACAGTGCACCCTGATCATGATTCATGTGCTTTAAGCCATATCCAATGGCTACCCAGCTCCTCCTGCAGTCTCAAACTGGGGCCTTCCCTTAGGAAGGGAAGGGACCCCTCTTTAGGGGTCCAGATTTTCCCTCCAGCTTCGTAGCAAATCCCATGACCCACCCACAAATGAGAGCGAGCCCACCCTCCCTCCCATCTGGGTTCGCCCATCCAGCGTGAGACACCTGTCCACCCAAGTCCCTGCTGGCTTCCCGTTGAGATTGACTCTCCCATTCAGAAAGCATAAGAGAAGAGGATATTGATGGCTCCCTGCAAACACATGATCGCCGTGGAGGCAGAGATGGGCAGGCATGGAGAGCAACAGGGCTGGAGACCCGGCTGAGGGAAGGGAAGCCATCCCGAAATGAATCCTGGAGTGCATTGGGACCCTGTGCCGATACACTGCGACTGATTGCTTATGTGCATGCAGCTTCATCTCCAGGGTTACAAGGCCACCAGATGAGGTCTGGAAAGGTGAGTGCTGGGTCACTGCCACCAGGTAAATATGGATTCCTGGGTCACAAAACCCAAATAGTAATGTTTCCTGTGGTGGACACTACCTGAAAGGACCCCGATGTTAGTAAACAGGCAACTCACTATATCTTCTGAGCATATCAAATTCCTAATAGATAATATAATGGCAGAGTACCATGTTAAGAAAAGCAATCACAGGCCAGGGGAGATGGCTCACACCTGTAATCCCAGCCCTTGGGGAGGCCGAGGCAGGAGAATCACTTGAGGCCAGGAGTTTGAGACCAGCCTGGGCAACATAGCAAGACCCCCATCTCTACAAAAATTTAAAAATTAGCCAGGTGCACCTGTGGTCCCAGCTACTTGGGAGGCTGACGCAGGAAAATGGCTTGAACCCAGAAGGTCGAAGCTGCAGTAAGCCGTGATCACGCCATGGCACTCTATCCTGGGTGACAGAGCAGGACACTGTCTCAAAAAAAGAAAAGAAAAAGGAAAACATCTAAGTACCATTTCTGTAACTCTATTGCTAAGCTCAATGGTTATCAAATGCTTATCACAAAGATGCAAGCTGGACACATACCCAGCTCCTGGCTGCTTCATAAATACTCCTGCTCCTTTTTTTTTTAGACAGAGTCATGCTCTGTCACCAAGGCTGGAGTGCAGTGGCATAATCTCGGCTCACCGCAACCTCTGCCTCCTGGGTTCAAGCAATTCTCCTCCCTCAGCCTCCCAAGTAGCTGGGATTACAGGTGTGCACCACCACGCCTGGCTATTTTTGTTTGTTTGTTTGTATTTTTAGTAGAGACAGGGTTTTGCCACATTGACCAGGCTGGTCTCAAACTCCTGACTTCAAATGATCCACCTGCTTTGGCCTCCCAAAGTGCTGGGATTACAGGTGTGAGCCACTGCACCTGGCCCTGCTCTTTATCAGAATAAAAGGATTCATGGCCTCCTTCACACTCTTCCCCCATCCAAAGCACCCCACACACACTCACAGATGCACTCATGTACACACGCACACACGGTGTTGTCTACTCAGTGGGTTCTCCCAAAAAGAGAGGTGTTCAAACTCCATGTGCCTCATTTTGTTGTGACAACTTTCTTTTACTTTTTATTTATTTATGTGGAGGCAGGGTCTCATACTGCGGCCCAGGCTGGAATTGAGTGGAGTGGTCTTAGATCACTGCAACCTCGAACCCCTGGGCTCAACTAATCTTCCCACCTGGGCCTCCCAAGTAGCTGGAACTACAGGCACATGCCCGCATGCCTGGCTAATTTTTAAAATTTTTAGTAGAGACGAGGTCTTGCCATGTCACCCAGGCTGGTCTCAAATTCCTAGGCTCAAGCAATCACCCCACTTCGGCCTCCCAAAATGCTGGGATTACAGCCACAAGCCACCATGCCCGCCCTGTAGTGACAACTTTCTAAACTCAATGCTCAGTCTTCCATAGCCCTCCAGTTCTTGACGAACTTTCTTTTCTTTCTTTTTCTTTCTTTTTTTTTTTAAATAGAGACAGGATCTCCTTATGTTGCCCGGGCTGGAGTACAGTGGCCATTCACAGGCACAATCACCATGCTCTACAGCCTCGAACTGCTGGCCTCAAGTGATCCTCCTGCTTCAGACTCCTGAGCAACTGGGATTACAGGTATGCACCACCATGCCTGGCTACACTGGGCTTTTTAAGTTAGGTACTCACAGGGACGTTATAGCAATGAGTCAACTTCACAAAGCTTCTGTATGAGTAGGGTTCCTCTGCATCTTACAGTTAGAACCCAGGTCCGCTTCTGCAACTTCATGCTAAAAATTTATCCATGTCAATTTTTCAAACGTGCAAAAATATGTTAACATAGCATTAAACAAGAAGATAGGACACCACCTATGCATCCATTTTCCCCATATGCACTGATTTTAATGAAATTGCTGCTGTTTATGAAATACAAATGATGGGTAAAATTTTTTTTTTTTTTTGAGACAGAGTCTTGCTCTGTTGCCCAGGCTGGAGTGCAGTGGCACCATCTCAGCTCACTGTAACCTCCGTCTCCTGGGTTCAAGTGATCCTTCCCTCTCAGCCTCCTGAGTAGCTGGGATTACAGGCATGCACCACCACACCCGGTTAATGTTTGTATTTTTGGTAGAGATGGGGTTTCTCCATGTTGGCCAGGCTTGTCTCGAACTCCTGACCTCAGGTGATCCACCCGCCTTGACCTCCCAAAGTGCTAGGATTACAGTCATGAGGCACCGCATCCGGCCACTGGTAAAGATTTTAAATATTGCAGTTGAGCCCTCTGTGAATATTTTTGTTTTGTTTTGTTGTTTTTCTTTTTTCTTTTCTTTCTTTTTCTTTTTTTTTTTGAAATGAAATCTCTCTCTGTTGCCCAGGTTGAAGTGGCACCATCTCGGCTCACTGCAACCTCTGCCTCCCAGGTTCAAACGATTCTCCTGCCTCAGCTTCCTGAGTCGCTGGGATTATAGACACCCACCACCACGCCCGGCTAATTTTTGTATTTTCAGTAGAGATGGGGTTTCACCATGCTGGCCAGGCTGGTCTCAAACTCCCGACCTCAGGCAATCCGCCCACCTTGGCCTCCCAAAGTGTTGGGATTACAGGCGTGAGCCATTGCGCCCGGCTGCCTTCTGTGAATGTTTTATTAAGTTCCCGTATAGCCCAGTTCACTAGTGGAAATAAGCGGCAGGGATACTGGCACATTTTACCTCCTGTTATTGGATTAATAGTTTAAAAAAATCTCAGGACTTTCATTAATTTTTTTTTTCTGCCCAGAACATTCATTTTCACTGAAAGGCTTTGCTCTCAATCTATTCTGAAAAACTGGAGTTTCATTGTGTGTGAACTGATTCGGGAGTCTGCATTCTTCCAGGGCGACAAATCCTGCACCCTTGGGGAAGGGTGATAGATAATACAGATTGCATTCTTGCCTTAGGTAGATGGACACATTATCCTGGGACCCCAGGGAGCACTTTCTAGACTTTTCTCCCAGTTATATCCATGAGGGACAGGCTCGTGATTGCAAGGACTTCAGCTCCCTGCCAAGCCAAAGACACAAGACGAGGGGCCCCCAAAAGCCTAAAGGGAAACCAGAAGGACATATGACGCTTGTTCACTCAAAAAGCACCGCATGTCCCATAAACCTGACCTCAACTCCTCTCAGGGACAGAAAACTGGGTTGAACTAGTACACATTAATTTTTTTCTATAGGACACTTTATAGATTTTTTTTTTTTTGAGACAGAGTCTCACTCTGTAGTCCAGGCTGGAGTGCAATGGTGCAATCTAAGCTCACTACAGCCTCCGTCTCCCAGATTCAAGCCATTCTCCCACCTCAGCTGGGAGTAGCTGGGATTACAGGCACGTGCCACCGTGCCCGGCTAATTTTTTTGTATTTTCAGTAGACAGGGTTTCACCATGTTAGCCAGGCTGGTCTTGAACTCCTAACCTCAAGAGATCTACCCACCTCAGCCTCCCAAAGTGCTTGTATAGGAAACTTTGTAAAATGCCGCATACACCAGCCTCTGCCTGAGCATTAGCAGTTTGGAGAGAGGGAGGAACACAGAGCTAGGTCATCTCTCCAGAGGGGCCAGGTCCCTTTGTGACTTGTGCAAGTGTCTGGGTTCACAATGGTGAGTGAGGAAATTGAATTAGAAGGGCTGTAGCCCCTTTTCCTCTGAAATCTTACCATTCTGTGAACCCTCCTGCTGGGCTTGGGGATCTTTATTTCTGCAGAAGTAGTGACTATAATGCCAGGTGTGGTGGCTCACGCCTGTAATCCCAGCACTTTGGGAGGCCGAGGTGGGCAGATCACCTGAGGTCAGGAGTTCGAGATCAGCCTGGCCAACATGGTGAAACCCCCGTCTCTCCTAAAAATTCAAAAATTAGCCAGGCATGGTGGCAGGCACCTGTAACCCCAGTTACTCAGGAGGCTGAGGCAGGAGAATCACTTGAACAGGGGAGGTGGAGGTTGCAATGAGCCAAGATAGTGCCACTGCACTCTTGCCTGGGAAACAGAGGAAGACTCCGTCTCAAAAAGAAAAAAAGAAAAAGAAAAAGAAGTAGTAATTATACTAATTGGATGAGGGCATGGGGAATCTGAACTGTCAAAGGGGAGAAGTCAGGAAAGATCGAATATTAGACACAGCCCACCTTGTCTCCTAGAGGAGCTTGGCAAAAAGCTTGGGAAGCAGACACTAGACAGTGGCCCTTCACTAAAAACCATATCTCCAGCCGGGTGTGGTGGTTCACGCCTGTAATCCCAGCACTTTGGGAGGCCGAGGTGGGCAAATCACCTGGGGTTGGGAGTTCGAGACCAACCTGACCAACATGGGGAAACCCCATCTCTACAAAAAATACAATAATAATAATAATAAAACCATGTCTCCTTAGTCACTTCCTGGATGCTGGCAAATTGGATATGGGCACATTACATATTTACCTCATTCCATCCTCACAACAGCCCTTTGGGGTGGGTATGAGTGGTGTTATTGGCCGGGTGCAGGTCTGTCCTGCCCGCATGCAGTAAATCAGTCACTGTGACTATGATGTGGGTTTTGCAAAAGAGAAAAGATTTATTTGCAAGGCCACCAAGCAAGGAGGTAGAACAGCTCTCACATCCTGCTTCCTGAAGATAAGGCTTAGGGATATTTATGGGTTAGGGAAACATGGTGGTATAAGGCATGGGGAAAGGTGATTGGCAGTAGGGAAAATTATTTGATAGGTTTGTTCCTCACAAGCGTAGTAGTCAGGGTTTGTGGCATTTCATAGGACGTGTGTACAGAAAGTGGTGGCATTAGCATGATCTGAGGGTGGGATCTTTGGCCCTCTGACATCAAAAGTCCACTTCCTGGGCATTTGGGCAGGCCCACTGAAGAACTGGTGGTCCCAACCTGATTGAACTGGATGGGAGCTGGCCCAAGTTCCCGAAAAACAACTGAAGCAAACATTACCATAGTGACCTGTGACTGTGATCTCTAAAGAAGCTAGTGAAGGGTACATTTCAGTGTTTAATACCATGGTATTCAGCTACCACAGCCTTCAGCTATGACTGTCTTCAGCTTCAGAGGAAAAAGAGAAAAAGGCCAGGCATGGTGGCTCATGCCTATAATCCCAGTTTTTTGGGAGGCCAAGGTGGGAGTATTGCTTGAGCCCAGTTTAAGACCAGCCTGGGTAACATAGTGAGACCTTGTCTCTATTATAATATAAAAAAAAAATTGACACAGCAGGCAAGGAAGGAAGGAGGGAGGAAGAGAGGGGAGGAAGGGAGGGAGGGAGGAAGGAAGGAAGGAAGGAAGGATGGAAGGAGAAAGAAAAAGAGAGAAAGAAAGCAAGAGGAAGAAAAGAAAGGAAAAAGGAGAAAAAAGAAAAATTAACAGAACAAGCAAGTGACCAAAGCAAGCAGGGCAACCAGACCTGATCAAATTAACCCCTCAGTTTCGGCGACGGTGACTATTCACTGCTTCCCAATCTCCAGCCTTCCCTTCCTTCTTAGTAACAGAATCCTGGAAATGTGTCTAGCTGGAAAACTATTGTATTAGTTAGCTATTGTGTAACAAATGAGCACACCACTTAGCTCCTGAAATCAGAACAAAAAAGTTTGGCATCTCATGTTTTCAGTGGGTCCTCTGGCTCAGGTCTCTTGTGAGATTGCATTGAGATTTCCGCAAGGGCCGCCATCATCTGAAGGTCAATCTGGGGAAGGATCTTCTTCCCAAGGTCACTCATGATAAGACTGTTGCACTGAGGGCCTCAGGTCCTCGCTAGATGTTGACCATAGGGATCAGTTTCTCTCTCTCTTTTTTTTTTTTGAGACAGAGTCACGCTTTGTCACCCAGGCTGGAGTACAGTGGCACGATCTCAGCTCACTGCAACATCTGACTCCTGGGTTCAAATGATTCTCCTGCCTCAGCCTCCTGAGTAGTTGCGACTGCAGGTGTGCACCACGATGCTGGCTAATTTTTGTATTTTTAGTAGAGATGGGGTTTCATCATGTTGGCCAGGCTGGTCTCAAATCCCTGACCTCAAGTGATCCCCCCACCGTGGCCTCCCAAAGTGCTGGGATTACAGGTGTAAGTCACTGTGCCCGGCAGAGGCATCAGTGTCTTGCCTTGTGGGCCTTTCCAGAGAGCACCTCACAACATGGTGTCTGGTTTTCCTCAGAGCAAGAGAGGACGCCCAAGACAGAACCGTCATCTCTTTGAAACCTAATCTCAGAAGGGACATCCCATCACTTTTTCCATAGATGTGGATATGGTTTGGCTGTGTCCCCACCCAAATCTCAACTTGAATGGTATCTCTCAGAACTCCCCCATGTTGTGGGAGGGACCCAGTGGGAGGTAATTGAATCGTGGGGGCCAGTCTTTCCCATGTTATTCTTGTGATAGTGAGTAAGTCTCACGAGATCTGATGGGTTTATCAGGGGTTTCTGCTTTTGCTGCTTCCTCATTTTTCTCTTGCTGCTGCCATGAAAGAAATGCCTTTCACCTCCCGCCATGATTCTGAGGCCCCCCCAGCCATGTGGAACTGTAAGTCCAATTTAAC